AAACAAACAAACAAAAACACCTTGGCCATATGTTCAGGTAGCCACCCAAATTCCCATCTGATTAAGATGCCACACTCACAGCCCAAACAGCACAGCGAAGGGCTTGTTCCTGTGACATAAAGCGAAGCTTTCACATTCCCTCTCACCCCCAGACAGATGGGGGAGAAAGCACACTGCAATGAGCAGCTCAAGCAACAACTCTACAAAGGCCATAAAAAAACAATTTACCGGATGATATCCCGCCCAAGAAAACTCATTTACACATGAAACGCTATGCTCTGTCACACCGTGGGTGACACTGGACTTGGGGTGGATGGAGGACCAGGCAGCCCCCTGATTAGGCTGTGCTGGTAGAACCCCAGCCTCGGTACACCCAACCATTCTTTCTTTCCTTGGGCTGGAGCACACTTCCTGGGGTGACGTGTGGTCGGGACCACGGTGGCGTCACCAGTAGGGCCTCCCAATTCAAATACGAGGCAGTGCTACCTTTGGGTGCCTCCCTCCTGGGGAACCCCACGGGAACAGGGGAAGGGATGACAGAACAGCAGGACCCCAGGGTTTCCCCGGCCATGCTAGGACCGCTGACTCTAGTGAGTGATGCTACAGGATATGTCAAGTTTATTCGGGGTGTGACTTCCCTCCCCAGGTGGGATGATTAGGCCGAAAGGTTTGGGTCAAACAACAGGGCCATGGATCTCAAGGAAGTAGAAGAGGAGAGCATCTCGGGCCTCGCAAGGTGCGTGGAGTAGGTGTGAAGTGGGAACTTGAACCCGTCTTCTCACTCCTACAGAAGCCTGTGCTGGGCCTGGCACCATAACACTCTGATAAGAACCAGCACAGCCAGGAAGAGGCGGCAAACTCAAACAATGCTGGCTTTGTCACCCCCGAAAAAGTCCCTCATCCCACACTCCCATTTTAATGGCTTGTCCAGGACACGACGACTTGGATTTTCCTCTAGCCCAACGAGAATCACTGAACTCACAGCCAAGGTAGTGACAACACCTGAACAGCCCTGAGTGAGTGATCTGCTGGCAGAACAGGGTGGTGTTTGTGTTACTGCCAACGCCTCTTGCTGTGGGTTGATCAACAATGCAGGGAAGGAGCCTCGGCTGGGCACCCTCAGGCCCCCAGACTGGCTTTGTGGCCTCTTCAGTGGGCTCAGTCCAGGCCCTGGGGGTTTCGGTGGAGGACCATCCTCCAGGGAGGGCAATCATTGTCCTGGTCTGGGTCTGCTAGTGACCCTGGCAAAATATTGACTCAAAATGGCAAGGGGGCTCTGCGAGCAAGCTGCCTTTGTCTGGCTTGTTCAGTGGCCGATTCACCCAACTCCACCTACACATTCGGGGGGCAAACGATGGTCCATCCGGAGAGGGTGTGCTCTATCTGTTACATCAGTGGTCCGGCAGGGTGGGTGGGGTGGACTGTCCGGAAAGGCGGGCGTGTGCAGCTTCTTGCCTCCTGCACCCTCACATCGGAATGGGCCCTGAGCCTGGAACGCTTCCTTATTTACCAAGAGTCCTCACGGCCTGTGCCGCTTTATCCCCTTGTGCAGGAATGCCTTTGTTCAGCTTAAGCACAGGCGTCAGCGGCCCCTAGCTTTCTGTATTTCAGACCCCACCCGGAAGGGGTCCAGGTCCTCCCACTTCAGCAGGAAGTGGGGTGCTTGCAGTCACATCACCCCCTCCAGTATTGGTGTGGACCCGCTGGCCATGAGGGCATCAATGTTTGCAAGGGACCGGATCTTATGCACTTTCCTCTTTTGCAGTGGTCTCTTCCCTGGGTGGCACTTACCTGCCTTTTAACTGGCTCCACAGCCTGGCCAACCAGTGGACAATGAAACTGTCCCATGCTTCACACCTTTTTCTGTGGCAGCCATGGCCTCCTGTTTCAGAGCTTTACTGGGATTTTGTAGGCAATTGGTATGTCTTGCCAGTATTCATTTCTGTAGACACTCACCATTCTTACCTTCGCTCAGTTGCCACCCTTCCACCTATCATTTTCATATATTTTGAGTCAAGGACACAGGTATTTGGTCTTTTCCAAGATTCAACCACCATTACTACTGTGTCCTCAGCACCCAAAACAGGATCTAGCACATGGCAGGCATTCAAATATGTTTTATAATTCTTAGAATCTGCAGCAATTTGGGATCATCTTCTGAGATGTGACATAATGTTCACGTGTGCAGGGGTTAAAGTGTGGCACAGATGGCCATCAAGAGGCTGCTAGAGGAATTCAAGTGAGGTGATAGTGGGTCCTTCTCATCTGTAGGAACAGAGATGGTTATCCTGAGCGCCACACCCTTCAGGGCACTCCATCTTTGAAATTCTTTTATTCTCGTACGAGTAGATGTCTAGCTCCATTCTTCTTCATGCTCCTATTTCTAGAAATAAATTATAGCCTCTACACCTACTCATCAGATGTTGCCCTTCTTTGTGGCCCACTTAATGGTGTGTGGTCTTTCCATATGTTATCTTGCAAGGGTGATCAGAATTCGAGTCATTTGGGAAAAAAGATATTTGCCATGAATTACAGGGAAGAAGCCCATCACTACAGAACACAGTTATAATTTACAGGGGTCTCTTCCCTGACCCATGCCCATTGTTGTTGGGTCCTTCTGTTACATATTCTCAAACCCCGTGTCTGCTTCCTTTGCAGCATGTATTGCAATTTATCATGCATTGTTTTCGAAGGTATTCTTTGATGAGTCTTCCATTGGACTTGAAGCTTCATGAAGTCAGGGACCACGTCTGTCATCTTTGCTGCTCCCCCCCACCAGCACTCAGCAGTGCTCAGAACAGCAAAGTGTCTCCACGACTGTTGAACGCATGAGTGATGAATGCCAAAGTACAGGCTGCTCCGATGTGTGATGACACTTATGTACAGAGTAAAAAGCCCCCCCCCAACCCCCCCCCACACACAGCTCGCCTCATTCTGTGCCCACGAATGCTCTGCTCTGCTACCCAATTAGAATCAGACATCCGTGAATTCTGCAGGGACAAGCTTTCTCAACTTAGCTCGAAAGGTGAAAAAAATGAACACCTGACATGAAATGAATTTATAAATCAGTTTATTTACAGATTTTTTTATCTTTTCTTAAAGTACATTTCAGTTAACAAATCTATTTACACAGGTATACATGGGAATTCGTCCCAGTTATGTTACAGATCATACTTACAAACCACACCCTAAGTTTTCTGTGCAAAGTTGCACTGGATGTGACTATTGGCTGAAAATGGCCTGAAGACCAGGCTATTTACACATACACAGTAAACGGGTTTGTTTTTCATGTCTGCACAATACAGTACACACACGGAGGCCGGGCCTCCCAGAGAACACTTTGCAATGTGTTTCCCAAGAAGGCTTTGCAAAGTCCGGGAGGAAAAGCTATTAAACATAGGTTCATTAAAATGACAGTACCTCCTTTACATCAGTTGACATTTTTTTCTTCACATTTTTATAATACAAAGATATTTTATTGAATTGCTGCACAACCAGTTTAAGATGATTTGTAAACATGTAAATTCCTACAATTTGCATGAAACATCATTGTAGTTCTATCATTTGCTCTTTGAATTAATGTTTCATTCACTAGTATTCTTAAGGTAGTAAAAGAAGATGTAAGTTTGAACTTCTTGCAGAAAAGTTATGAGTCTCTAACGCTGTGCGAGTACACACTTTATTCAAGTATTGCAAAAAGCTAAGGCCACTTTTTTTCAAGACAAGAAAAGTGAACAAAATTGTTTTTATCAATAGGCCACAAAACTCTTATGAGCAATGAAATCTCTTCTGAAAGATAATTTCTCAGAGACCTGTAGTTACAGAAGGAATTCTTTTCTTTTAGGTAAAAGAAAAACAAACTACCTTCCTTATTAACTACTTTTGAGCTCTTCCCCACTTTTCCCTAGAGTAAAAATTCCTGTTTAGACCTGAAGAGGGAATCTATACCCTGTATTTATTTAACCCAGAGTTAAGTACCCTGGATAGCACAAATTATTTTGGACTCAGAAATAAATCTGAAGCCGATATGTTGGTTTACTACTAAATTCTGAGTGCTATTCTAAAAGATATTACTGCTGATGCAAAGATCTTTTTCTTAGAGGAATTATGAAGAAAGGATGGGCGTGTGGGGAGAAGGAACAAAGATTACAAAGAGGGAATATTTAGATTCTTGGTTAAGAGGCAGAGCTTGATTAAAAAGATCCCAATAAGGAACAAGTGGCTGGGTGTCCATGTTTATCATTCCCAATCCTAACAATAAACCCCCTTCAAATTTATCCCAAGAGTTAATAAGAAATCTGCTCATTATAGATTCCTTTGTTTTCTGCTACCAAACTATGAATAATCATTTCTAGCAAGGAGTACAACAGACCAATTCCTGCCTCACGTGGAACCCAAAGTTCTTAGGACAGTAAAGAGAGATGGAGCATGTCAGGGTTGCCGCCACGTTCTTACCAGAGGGTAAGTCCAGACTGCTGGCTCCAGGGACTTACAGCGTTTCTTTCCTTTTCTGGAATCACAATGTCATAAAGAATAAAGATAAACTTTCTTATTAAAAACTGATCTAGGTCCAAATAATGAGGATGTAGAAAAACAACCTATATTCCTATATTATTTTCATATTCATTTATAAAAAATTTACAGCAGCTGTAAAGTTTCAGTATCATAAGGACAATGTAATCCTACAAACAGCCAAAGGATGTAAGACAAGATGTTTTCTGTCTGCCAAATAATACAAACTGAAAAGAAAAGCCTTGGCTTTTCCTTGGCCACATGAAAATCCTATCTCCACACTACTGGTTAATAACCCCAAGAAACCCTAGCTTCTCTTAGTGAATTTGCTCATTATGGCTACGAGACCAGAGCTCAACATCAAACGCCCAAAAGAAATGCTGGCAGGACATTAACCCGAGCATTTCCTGAGACCCGATCACATTTCAGTGCTTTCCTTATTTGTCAAGAGCTATCATACCAGTCATTGTGCAAAATGCAAATATTCCAATGATCATTTCAGCGAGTTTCTCATTAATGACAAGATGAAACCAAAGAGGGATGGAAGTGTGCATAGTGAAACATTGGAGACGCGAAGGCAAGTTGGAGGAAAGATGCAGAAATGAACGAACGTGCACACTTAAAAATTACACCATCTTTGGGGTTTTTCTAACATATCTTTTGAAGCTATAACATTCCAGGGTATTTGTAAATATGAATCCAGTGGATGTCTTATATCATGCTTCTAGTCAGGACCTCCAATATTAAGGCATTTACATTCACGCCTAAGATTATCCACATTCTTCTAGATTACTTGATAAGAGAAACCAGTCAAGAAGGCAGGGTACTGAGGTCCCGGGAGAGCATCGCCTGTGCTCTAACATAGCAGCTGGAGTCTATGTGTTTTTTCAGATACAGGTAAGAGTTGTAAGAAGCAGTGCTGCTGAGAGGCAGAGTTGAATTTTTACAGTGTCTTTACAATGTTTTATCCCATTCCTGCTACTGCAGATGACCTTGGTAAAACCCATCTTCTTTTCACTGAATAACACTGCCTTCTTCGATGTACATGGGTTTGTTAAAACCGTAGGTTTCCTGTGCAAAGACTATGACCATAGAAGCTTCAAGACGGAAGTATAACTATTACGAGAATCTTTCACTTCTGAATAGGGACACACATTTTCAACTTAATAATTTATCTTAAAATAAATTAAAAAATGTTCCATAGCACAACACAAGCACACAAATAAGAGACAATATCTTTTTGTCTTTGGTGCACACACTCATTTCCTAATTCATTCAAGTAACAGCGTTTCTGCCTTCCTGGGGAGAGATGGCGGCTGACAGTTTGAAGGCCAGAATGAATGATCTCCACTTTTGCCTGGATGCCTGAGATGGTCCCGAGGATCTGAGAATCTGGGAGCAGCTGGCAGAGGGAGACAAGGGCAGAAGAGCCAGCCCTGCACCAGTCCTTTGAGCCCAGTCTTCTGTGGGGGCATTTATTTGCTTTCATGCCCATAGGGAGAAAACTGAAAATAACGCAGAGGTTTAAAATTCTTCAGATGGCGCTCAGAAAGCGAGGCTACTGCTGACTTCTGTGAACTTGACAGTCCACGGGTGCTGCTCAGCTACAGTAATGGAAGAAAATGGTCTTCCCAAAGAAAAGACATGAACTCCAGAACGTGAACCAGGTGCGCATCGTTGAACCTGCCTAGTTAGAAGTGGTTAAGGGTTTAATACTGTTTAGAGACCATCATGTCCATTTACGACTTTCATGGTACAGACCAGGATTACATTTCAAAAATGGTCTAATGCGTTTATCTATATACCTCTCCTGCCTGACTTCAGACTCAAGGAAGTGCCACCCTAGTCTCAGCTACCAGGTAAGTCTGGTGTTTTCAGCCCTCATCTGAGACCCGGCAGGGGTGCTGACAAGAGGTGTAGAATTACAGTGTGTGTCAACATCAGGTGTGCAACCCTGCCCGGTGACGATAACCACCACGGCCAGCGGACAGTCTCAACAGGCAAAGGCTGCAATACCAGATACCGCTTGTCCTGTGGGCTCCAAACCAGCAGTCTCTCAATACAGGTACGTGGTCCAGAGCACTCTTGTTAGGATGGAGATGGGTGTGTATCAGGAGGCAGAAAGGCCCAGACGCGTGTTAGCACTCAGTGTTCGATTTATTTGCAAGATGTCACACAAGTAGCACTCGCCCCTGTTTTTCACTGATCTGATTCAGGACATCGATAGTATCTCTGATCAAGGTCTCAAAGATCCCATCAGCCAGCTGCATCTTTACACACAACTCATCCTCATCGTAATTCACCCACTGGGCCTCCTCTTCATGGAGCTCCTGCACCTACAATTTAGAAAACACGAAGATTAGAAAAGCCCTGTCACGGGAAAGCTAGGACATTTGTTATATTTGCTGACTTGTAGTCCCTCCCATCCATGGGACTATATGCCAAGGAAATAAGCCAGAGAAAAAAGGTACATTATGTGATGATATCAACACTCCTTTTAAAGTTGCACCAAGTTAGAAAAAACTCAATGGCAAAATAAAAGTAGGCTCAAACTGTCAAGGTGGCTTCAAATCAGTCAAAATAGAATTTGACAATATTCTAGTATTTTACAGATATTAAGGATTACCAGCATGTTGTCTATGTCAACATGAAACAACGTGTAGAGGAACTTAAAGGGGAGAGAAGAACGCAAGTGACTAGATATGTGTTCTCACATGTATAAAATGCATGTATCCAAAGACAATGCTGGATCTGACTCCGGAGGGTTATAATAAATGAATACAGTTTAATATTCATGGGAGTAATTTTTTAAATGTGCTGCTGCTTACGCTTATTTTAAAAATCACTGCTATATAATACTTGTTCCTTTTGCATTTCAGAATTTGGGGATTCCTAAGGTAAACCAAAACTAATCAAATTAGAACTGACCAAGATTTCTGCTTGTTTCCAATAAATCTTTAAGAAGTGCTTATAAAGGAAACATGTCAGACTGATTATACACAATGATGCCAGCGGGATGGAGGCTAGGTGCAGAGAGTAAAATTCTGATCGAAACACAAACTCAGCCAAGGTATTGCAGTGATGGGGTTCTCTAACGGGCAGTCCAACTTGGCAAAAAAGCCACAAGCTCCTGACATGCCCTGATCACAACTGCATCTTGAAAAAGACAGAGGAATTGAAGAGGGGAACTTGTTCTGGTTCCCATTATGAGGAAAGAAGAAGGCTCTTGGCAGAAAGAGACCACATCACCCAGGAGTTTGAGAGAGCGAGGGAGGGAAGAACAGAACTGGCCAGCACATACCCGGGGCCAGGGCTGCCAGAGAGACCACGAGGCAGCTGCTACGTTCCTCTCTTTGAGGGAAGTTGTTTGAAGGGTTTGTAAACATTCACTCCTTTGTGCCCTAACTTATGCTCCACGAACAGATAAATCACCGAAAAGGATGCTACGGTCAAGTAAGTTAGAAAACACCCTCTAGAAGTTTCCTGTATTTATTTGATCAAAGAATCATTTTGTGTGGATATGTAAGAAATATCATTAACCTACCAAGGAACTGATGTTCCTTTTATGGAGGACGCTGTGGGCAACAGCTTAACGCAACACTTCTCAAACTGGTGCTGAGGGGGAACCAGGTAGGTGTGTCCCCACAAAAGATTTCATAACGCCCACAAATTTGTTTATTTGTTCCAAGTTGCACAGCTTTTCTAAGTTATCTCAGCCTTTAGTGTTAAATCTGTTCTTTGAGCAATATCCTCCCCAATAACACACTGTTTTTGCCCTTACACTAGAAATACAGGCTCAGGGCATTATCCAGGACAGCTCCGTGTTCCCCTGACGAGCCCCCACGGTATTCTCGTCAGTATTAGCAAAAGCTCTGCCCCTCCTGAAGGACAGGAACTATTTCCCTGTAGGGTGTGAGAACTGACATCCTGTTTTCCTTTTTGCTTTGGCCATCAGAAAGCACACGGCCCAACAGGGAACTTCAAGTATGGCAAGTGAGAGAGCTTACAGACGGCTGCCTCCATTTTCTTCTGCGGGTTCTTAAGAGTCTTCTATTCTATTCTATTCTATTCTATTCTATTCTATTCTATTCTATTCTATTCTATTCATCTCCCTTGCTTCTGAAATGTATGTGTATGTAAATTAATGTATGTTAACTATAAATTAAGTGACATTAAAAAGTTAATCTAACAATAACTTCATTTTGTTTTGTTTTGTTTGTGAAGTATTAGGTTGGTAGAAAAGAGAAATGTGGTAAATGGAATGTGGCCAGTTTTCAGCAAGGATGTCAGGTCTTTCGCCATATCCTTTTGAACAGGATGGAGAAATAGAGACACATCAGTTAGGTGGACTTGTACTTTTTTGATTAAAAAACAAAACAACTATCAACCTGGAAAGCTGGTTCTGCCTGAAAGACTCAGGAGCTTGGCCCTCTGTGCGCCCAGTCCATCACGTTCATATTTCACTGTAGTCATCAGCCTTTGGAATTGTATTTTGTGAGCTCCTCAAGATTTTTTAATTTTTTAAATTATTTATAATTCCCCAGTAGCTCGGACAGCACAAACAGATGGTGTTAAACATCTGGCATTTGGATTTTTTAGTGAGTACTAAGAGCTCTCTTCAGTTCATCATTTTTAGCGATAACCTAGGTGAAGACAGGTACATCAATTTTAGAGGTACCAGGAAGCTGGGAACATAACAACTATGTTAGAATAAAGAACCCAAAAATGTGTTGGTAGTTCAGAATGGTGGGGCAAATTTAACAAGATGAAGTAATAATATAAGGTCCTGTACTTGGGCCCAAAAAATAACTACAAAAGCACAGGTTGAAATTTTAGTCTTGAGGTTTTCCTAAGTTTTTGTGAGTCCCTTGAGAATGATACAGGTAAAAATAAACAAAACAAATGTGACTGTGAACTGTGCTATCAAAGTATAGTTGTACACCGCTGAGCCATGACGGGGACACGTTCTAAGAACTGTGTCACAATGATTTATCACCGAGGGGACACCACGGAGTGCACGCACACAAACCCGCTGCTGTGCACAGTGGACCCGCCCAATGCTCCTGGGCTATAAGCCCGTACGGCATGTCACCGCAGCAAACAACCCGAGATTCAATCGGGCACAGGACAAACTGATGCAATCAGGAGACTCGGTCAGCTCAAGATGTCTGAGGCAGCTACCGTCACAGCACAGAATACTGTTTTACAGCAAACCTTTTTTAATAGCAGAAAAAGTACACTTTAAAATGATAAAAAGTATAGTTTAGTAAATACATAAACCAATAACTCAGTAGATTATCCTCATCATCAAACATCATGTACTGCACATAATTGTATGTGCTGTACTTTTATATAACTGGCAGTGCAGGTTTGATACACAGGCGTCACCACAAACATAAGTAATGCGCTACAACTTAGGACGCCACTAGGCGACAGGAATTTTTCAGCTCCATTATCTTATGGGACCACCATCACGTACGTGGCCCATCATTGACTGAAATGTCGTTATGTGGCTCATGGCTGTATAGTATATAGAAAAAGGGAAGAGGTTGTATGACTGTGCTAATTAAACAATACACAAAACATTGTATGGTCATTTCTGAGGTGTATTTAAAGAGGGACACTGACAGAGAGCTAAAGCTGATGACACAGAAGGGACTCAAAAACCCTATTAGACAACAGGAGAGAATACCAACATTTAATAGGAAGAAAAGGGCTCAGGTAAAACAAGATAGCTGCATCAAAGGCAAGTAGGAAGAATGAAAACTGTTATGTAAAGCCCCAAAGCTGTAGAAGCAAATTATAATTAATTACATGAGCATCAATTTAGGCTTAATACGAGAAAACTTAACAATGAACAGAGTTATCTAATACTGTTCAGATCATAAGTTGTAAAGGCAAGTCAATCATTAGCTAGGGATTTCACTGCAGAACTTGAATAAGTGCAATTCTACCTCCAGTAGGAATGCTTTTCAAGGCTACCGCATATAAAGGATATATAAAAGTTAGTCGAAGTACAGAAGTACCCCCTTATTCGTGGTTTTGCTTTCCGTTTCAGTTATCTGCGGTCAACTGTGGTCTGAAAATATAAATGGAAACTTCCAGAAACAAACAACTCATACATTTTAAATTGTGTGTCTTTCTGAGTAGCATGATGAAATTTCTTGCTGTCCCACTCCATCCCACCTGGGACGTGAATCACCCCTTTGTCCAGCATATCCACGCTTTATACATTCACCACCCATTAGCCACTTAGTAGCCATCTGGGTTATCAGATCAGTTATGTGAGAGACAGAGAGAGACCACATTCACATAACTCTTATTGCAGTGTATTATAATTGTTCTATTTTATTATTAGTTGTTGTTGTTAATCTCTTACTGCGCCTAATTTATAAATTAAACTTTATCATAGGTTATGCATGTATAGGGAAAAACAGTCTATATAGGTGTCGGTCTATCTGTAGTTTCAGGCATCCACTGGGGGTCTTAGAACGTATACCCCTCGGATAAGGGGGGACCACTGTACTTGTTACTCATTCCATAACATACATTGCTTTGACAGTGCATTGCTAAAAAGAGCTGATATCCTTAGCTAACCTAGGATGTAAATTAATCAATGTCTTTGTGAAGTGGTAAAGGGACAGTGAATGAGAACTGGAGCTGAAAGAAAGATTTCTCTTCTATTTTGGCTAACATAAAGAGGACTTTATGTCTATAAAACATTCTTTGTATTTTGCTTATCTCAACGCCTAAAGACTGATTAGGGACCTTCCTAGTCCAAACAACAATAGCTAAATTATATATTTTCTTAATCTGGAAGAAGCAACTGTTTATTATGAACTGTTTAATACAATAGTTTACCACCTTACAAGTGCTTTAAAAGAGCAATTAATATTCCGTTTGAGGTCAACACCCGTCCTTGCCTGTTCAGGGATATTGCTCCAACAGTTCTCTCCTCCACACCATTCCATTTTCTCTACTGAATTCTTCCTATCAGCCCATTTCTTCTTCCTTTTTTTTTCTTTTCCTTACATTTAGTTTGTCATATGTAAGGTTTTTATAAACAATCAGTGTACATTGTAACAGTTTATATTAAAAGCCAATTAAGTTTATCTAAAATGTTGCCTGGCTGCATAGCACATTTGACATTACTGCCCACACGAAAAGTGAAAACAAATGGATTTACAATAACTTTTGGCTGTTCTGGATTCTGAAAATGTTCATACACCTACCCTTTTAAGCCAAATGCATCGGAAAATGTTTCCAGAGCATGCAGTTTAGATTTGACATATTACCTTTTGTTACTACAAACACATTATTGACTAAAAACGAAAAAAAAGGGAAAGAAATAACATATATCTAGTAAAATAGGCAATATAAAAGGAGGACTAATGAAATTAAGCTGCCCCTTCCCCATTTTTTACATTCTAAACAATGATTCCATCAAGGCACATCATTAAAACGTGTTATTACAGGGCCGGCCGAGTGGCACGTTAAGAGCTGGCTTGGGACACCAGAGGGCCCCGGTTCGGATCCCACATATGAGGGCCAGTGACACTGCCCTCCACAGCTAAGATGCTGAACAACGGCTCAACCTGGAGCTGGGCTGCCGTGAGTCACCGGCGACGGCGTAGGCTGCAGCCCCTGTGGCAATGGGTTGCCATGGGCTACCGTATGTAGCCAGCAGCCAGCGTGAGCAGCCAGCAGTTGCCGTGAGAGGCTGTCCAGAAGCTGGCGACTGATCTGACTCCCCTGGGAAGAGCGCAATGATGGTGCCAACTTGGGCCAGTGAAGCAACGTCCTCCACAACTAGACTGAAGAACAAAACGACAGCAACTTATCTGTTCCCTTTCCCCCAATTCCCCGATAAAAATCTTTTAAAAAAATAAAACAAGTTATTACAATGATTTTTTAAGAAAATGGTAAGAAGGCCTGAGTTGGTAGGAAAAAGAAGTCAAAAAAAGCCTGAGAAGGGGAAGGGAGTAAAGAAAGCCCATTTAATCCATTTACAATAATTTACAGTCATTTTTTGTGTGTGTATGTAAAAAGTCAGCTTATTTCTTTCAAGCTAAAAGAACCCTCTCTTGTTACCACTTTCCCCTCCATTTTTCTCTTTACAAAAAAACTCCACTAAATTAATTACTGTGAAGATCAAATGAAACGTGAATGAAAGTGTTCAGAGACACATGTGAATTCCCCAAGGTTATTGCTACTACTTAACATACTTTTAGGGGAAAATGGATGAAAGACCATCTTACTCCCTTTCCGTTTTTTTTTTTTTTTTTTGGTTTGATAAATGTTTTTCCTAATACTAGAGAAATATACTGCAAAATGGAATATATCCTATCCAGCTATAATTCTGGATAATAATGAAATAATTATAGCTAATATTTATTGAGTTATATGCAGGGAACTATATATATTTACTCATTTAATCCTCTTAATTTCATCAAGTACGTACTACTATTATCATCTTCATTTTGCAGATAGGAAAATGAGACACAGAGGGGTTAATTAATTTGTCCAAGGTTACACTCCATGTAAATGGCAGAATAGGGGTTTAAACTCGGGCAGTCTGGCCCCAGAGTCTACACTGGTCTCTTTTCAATTCAGTTCCTTAAACTTTGCTTCCATTGAACTTGTAACTTCTTAAGTTCTCCATACCCACAAAATAGTGTTAAGTTATTCATCTAACAGTTCAAAAGAAAGCAATTTCTGAAACTGAGGGGCAGAAACGCAGCAAATGAAGGCTTTAAGACTTTACTATCATAGACTTAAGGTCAAATCTATTTCCTTTCCTTTTGGAATCGAGATACATTTTGATTTTAGGAGATGGTCAAAGTAAAACAGTTCAGTTCTATACACTGACCAGGATGTGATCCACTCGGTCTCTTTTCTTTCTTCCAAATTTTATCATTTTCTGCCAATCTGTTTTGTGGTTTGTCTCCTTTTTAAGACTGAATAACTTGAGTACTTCGGCTGCTATGAAGCTCTGTAAAAATAAGAGGAATGAATAAAACACAACAAAATTTCGTGCTTATAATGCAGCAGACTTATGCTAAGAATACAATATTTGTAATAAAAGAGCTTCCAAATTTCTTCTACCCACAGTTCCACTTAGCAATTTGAAGACAAATACATTCTATAAGCTCAGACTTTATTCATTTACAGAATTTTTGTTTTTACACAACATACAAAAGTAGAACCCACTGACGATTCTGCAAAAAGAAACCACCTTGGGGTCTCCTGTACCCAAGAACCACCATTAGCTAACTTCAAACTGGCAAAACTACTGAAGAAAGCATAAAATAAAAAAAAATGAATCTCTGACCTTGAAAAATCCAACATCAATTTTGGGAGCAAAATACAAGGCTTTGGCTAGGATAGCTTATTTTAAAGCGCCAAGATCCAAATTCAAAAAATATTAATCAAAGCTTCAGTACAAGCAGCATGATAATTTTACTGCTAACAATATTTGCACTATCATCCCTAAACCCACTTCACAACATGTTATTTAATATTAAAGTCAGTGGGGAGCATCACTGTGCTTGAGCCTCAGGCATGCATTCTGATGATCGCTGGTATGGATTATGTACCTTATTTTCAACTTACTTGTTCTTTGTTATGAATAATTTGGGTTTTTATTACTTCTTAAATATATTTAAAGTATATCAAACATAGTATATTTGAGTCTATATATTGTGATTACTTGTTAAAAAACAGCATCAGCATCACTTGGGAGCTTGTTAGAAATGCAGAATTTCAGGTCCTACTCCAGACCTACTGGTAAGAATCTCCCATTTTAACAAAATCCCAAGATGATCTGTATGCACACTGAAATCTGAGAGGCACCACACTGGAAATAAAACCTTTGCTGAATAAAGAAACATGTGAATAGGCAGACAGATCTCCACCAATGTGATGTTAGAGTGGGTTTGTTGGGGGTCCTGTAGCTTCAAGACACTTCATCTTTTCAGGGGCTTCTTAGATAAACATTACTTTTTATATATCATATTACTATCCCACATATTTCAAAATCACATTACCCATTTGGACCCTTCAAAATCAAAGATGGAAAGGTAACACCTATTTGTCCAGGGTCAGTATGTTTGATCTATGACGTATTTTCAGTCATACAATATTATACCTATCTCTAAATTACCAAAAACACACCTAAAAAGCCTATGTGATGCAATAATTTATCTCCCTATTTCCCAATTTTTCTTGATATTATAAGTTCTGTGTATATATAGAAAATGACTATTAAAAGTTGTGTTTTGATCTGCAAATATTGAGGATTCAGGATCCCCTCTCATGCCCATCCCTCCATTGCTCACGGATTTGATGAATTAACAAGTATTTACTGAATACCAACTATGGGGCTGGCCTTGAGGACAAAACGGTAATACAGAGGAGGGCTTGCTTTTACAGCATCACAGCATGTATAGATCTGTACAAACGAACAGCGAGTCAAAAAAGGAGATATTCTACAGTTTGCAGTTTACCTTGATTTCATCAAGGTTACTTGGATTTTTCACTCGTCGGAAGTAATTAGAGTTGACTCTGCACGGCTTCATCCAGACAGGCTGATTCAGGTTGGGATCCTCAGCAAATATTTCCTCAAAAATCTCTTTTGTTAAATCAAAGACCGCCTTGATATGGAAAAACAGAACAAAACAAAATGGCTAAGAACCCAAATTTCAGACAAGAGAGAAGTTTCAGGGTTAAATTAGCCTTCCATGTTACATACCTGTTTGTAGACCCTCTTACTAGTACTTTCTATGTCTAGACCCTTACTGGCACAGCCGAGCAGTTTTGTAGGAATACTGATGCTGTGAAGGTCGTGACCTAATTCTTTCCATTTCCAAAGTTCTTCTGCTGCATGATGTACGAGACTTTCTACTTCCTCTGCAGTGTGTGGGACTGCCAAGAGCGTTTCACATGGCTTTGGGGGAGCTCTTTTTGGTTCTGCCATTAGAGGAACGATCGTTTCTTCTGCCTTATTCTTTTGGATCTTGTGAGAAGAGCTCAAACCAAAGTCTTCATCAAACCAGTCTTGATCATCTCCTAATGCGCTCAGGAACTCCCGGCTGATCTCCAGTTCAGCAAGTCTCTTAGCAAGCTCTTCCTGTCCGCTGGCTCCAAATACCGGACTCTCCTGCAGAAATGGAACCATTCAAACAGAGCACCATTCAGTGACCTCAGATCACGTAAGATTTTTTTTTTTAAGACAAAGCAAATATATTATTTGTATATTTACTATCTATCTATAAATAAGCACAACAAAAACAATACGGTGGCTACTAATGAACAATTTAAGGAAAAAACTATCTTGTTTCCCATAACCCTGCTTACAGAAGCCTTATAATTGAATTTTTATAAAATGTTTACAGACTAGTTTTTGTTTTCTTTTTGTATCATTATTATTCTGTTTCTGAAGGACTGTCTTGTCTCTGGGATATGGGAATGGGATATGAAATTTCTCACCTTTGGTAATTATCTGGCTCAAGGTACTCAAAATTATTACTTTTGCTCAATTGTCCATGGGCAATCTAAACAAGTTGATGGTCTGAGTACACGTTATAGTGGATTTAATTCAGTTTTACCAGAATCAACATCTCAACTGGTAACCTCTGCAGGGCAACTATGACTGAGTAGATACGGGGACAAATAATTTCACAGGCCAAAAAGAAATGGGTTGTGACCCACTGGAAAGCTCCATGGGATAACTCTGTTCAAGGACTCTGAAGGGACTCTAATCTGTGGACAGCACTCAGGGGTTGTCAATCCAGTGACAACCCGGCAGTGTTTGTGACAATCCTACAGTGACCACTCATGACATAACAGAGGACAATTATATACTTTAGACAGGAAAATAGGTACAAGGTCTTTAAAAACTAGTATAGTGATGTCTATCTAAAAGCAACACATCACCAAAAAAATCTGAATTAAAATGCACTGCAAAGGTAAGGTTAACTGACATTTTTTTCCAGACACAATACTTACAGGTCTGGGACACAGGTCTGGTGAGGAAATCTCTTCTTTTTCATCTTCCAATTCAGGCCTTAAGAAACCACCCAGAACACTTGGCAACTGTTCCTCAAGATTTTGGGACAGGCATTGGGGTGGTGCTTTCTTTTGATCGTCATCGAGAAGCTCTTGATTGCTAAGCTGGATTTTCTCATTCCTAGCTTTTTTGATTTGTTGTAGTTGACTGACTGTGTCCGTCACAAACGCTTTCAGTAAACTGTCTGTCAGGAAGCTGACTGTTTCTAGTTGTTGCTTTGACCTTTTTCCCTCACTTAGCGATGACCTCAGCTGGGCTTCCAACTGGCTCTTTTCTCGTGTTAAAAGGTCCAGAAGTGGGGTAGAAAGCTTGTCTGAAACCTCGGGATGTAGGTTTTCTTCCTTTTCTGTAACCTGTTGTTGCTTCAATTCTTCAGAAAAGGTGTTGTCTAAAGTGTCGTCTTCTACAGCAAAGGAAGCCTCTTCGGAGGTACCAGAAACAAGGTCTTTGTTTTCTTTTGAAGAGATCAGTGAATCCACTGAGGACTGCTGGTGAACATGGGCTTCAAGCACCCCCGAAATGTCCTGTACACTGGCTGTTTCTATGTTAAGGTTTCTATCAGCGGAGGCTTCTATATCGTGCATGCTAGGTGGAGCTTTCTCATGAAAACACTCAACAGCATCCTTTTCTCTCTCAAACGTGGGACCCTCTGTATCTTTGCGTTCTTGATTACAGTAATGATACTGGTCATCTGAGTAAGAGCCTTCGTCCTCGTTTATGTCCACATAGTCATCAAAGTTTTCTGGAATGTGAGATATTTTTTGAGGAGGAGCAAAAATGCCATGTTTCTCTTTGCACACAAAGTATACGATGCCATCGTACGTTCCACTGTTATTTCCTTCTGGTTTATCCAACTCCACTCCAGCCCAGAATCCTTTAGCAAAACTAGTCACGCCTTTGAATCGGAGAGTTCCTGGCTGGACATTGCCAATCAACACCCGATCACCAATGTGAAAGTCAAGTAACTCATCTGCAACAGGAGCTGAAGCCAAGGAAGAGGGTTCGGCAGCTTCCCGTCCATGCTCCACATCGCTGCGTTCCTTGCTCTTCATTAGCTCTGTAGGGGACTTGAGTTCTAACAGCCTTTCGGAGTGGATGTTGCTATGGATAGAAAGGCTTTTCTCACTGAGGCACTCACTGACTCCCTCATCACTCCCAAAGCTAGGCGCTAGGCTTCCGGAGCTCCTAGCTGGCTGTGACTTATCTCTGCAAGACTGAGAGTCTTTGCTGAGCGACAACAAAGATAATGCCTCAAAGTCATCATTGTACAATTTTGCTGAAATGTCCCTCTTGAAAGAAGACACTTCAAAATCTTCAGAGTATGTTTCTTTAGGAGCAAGAAGATGTTCCGACAAAGATGAGTTCCTTTCCTTTATGTTCTTTTGTGTATGAGTATCTTTTTCTGATTGGATGCTTTGACTATGATCCATCGCTTGATCTGATTGTCCCTCTTTCAACTCTGTTTTATGAAGATTTTCAATGGCCAATCTAACTAAGTCTTTCTGAACATTTATAGACTCTAAAGGAAGATCTTTCTTTGAAAGAATTTCAGATGAATCTCCCTGCTCCAGCTCTAGTTTTAGTAAGACATTGGGCTTCCTGGATTGTTTAAAATAGGCTTCTTCAACCTCGCTCGCTTCCAATTTTGCATATTTTACTTCTTGTGTTTCTGATTTTTGACTAGGTTCATCTTCAGCCTTGGCATCTGACACATCCAGAATGCTACTAGGGGCATTTAATTCTTTGAGAAGATGTAATAAGGGTACATTGTCTAGAGAATCTCCAGATTCTGCTCTGGTTTTCCTTGATGACCTGAGAATAGGAGATGAAGTCTGAAAATGCTCTTCTGTTCGACTGTCCAGTTCAATCCTTCTCTTTGCATATGCAGATAAAGACCTTTCTGACACCGATCTCTCAGAACCTGACAATGCAGCATCTTAAAGAGAATAAAAAATACCACACCAAAATTATTTAATTGCAATCTTTCAATTTCTGGAATTTGAAAAGTTTAAATAAAAGCTAAATCTTAGTGAGGAAAACCTCTGGTATATAAAATCTGACTTGTTTTGGTTATAATATAAGGTAAGGCTTTCCTTTAAGAGAATATACAAACATTTAAAATGACTGAAAATTTCAAGTTGGAATAATGTCTTAAGTGTTGTTCTAACTTATAAAGCAAAGAAAAATGGATCCAAGTTTATAGAGGCATTGATTTGCAGGATCATTCTCAATCATGCAAAAACAGAATTGTATGACAAATATTACATGCATTCTTCAAATAGGAAAGCAATGAAGGGGGACAAATATACTTCCAAAAGCATATATACTTCTAAAAGAGTGAATTTTCCTAAGGACTTTTAACTAAGCTCTTGAACGTAAAAAAGAAAAAGAAAAAAGGTCAGCTATTTCTGCAAATATACACTTTAAGAGCTAAAATTGCATAAGAAGAAAATAAGTAAGATCTGATGAGCTAACAAACCAAGAATTAAACATTTTGAATTCAAGTTGCTATTCTGTCATTGTTACTAGATAGGCTTTTTCATGACTCAGTTTTGTTTTATTTCCTCATTGATATACATTATTTTCAATAATTCTTACCTTTTTTTGGAATAAATTGAAAAATAAAATGTATAAAACCATTTACCCTGAGAAACAGTACAGACAGAAAATATACATAATCAGAAACAGAATCTGATTAAGGGAGAATTGAAAGATGTTGATGATATACTCAGCCATTTCAGATTAATGTCTTTACACCTCAATTTTTCTCATAAATTTAGGATGATAAAGACTGATTCACATAACTTATGTATAACCAATAAATTACTTTAAAGTATAAAAGTAACTTAAAATATTGAATAATCTATTATCTAAATAATCTAATATTAAAATATTAAATAATCAAAATCTATTTTGATTTTTCAATCAAAAACCCGTGGAGGTAAAAGTGTGTAGGCATTTGCATACATCCACAGTTTATGCGGACATGGCGTCATTATTTTTTTCTAGCTACATACCAGCATGTTCAGCAATAGACTCCAGGGATCCTCTGGAACGTTCAGAGTCTGTTAGTGATTTCCAATTCTTTGCCGTTTCAGATCTGAAGTAGAAATTAATAAGCAGAAATAAATATATTGATGGTACTATGATAACCAATAACAAAAGCACTCAATTCTTAGACAACCACTTCTTTCTTCTTCTCCCAACCTTTGCCACTTGCATCAAGCCTCTCTCTGACCCTCACTGCTCTCAGTAGATGACCTTGCCTCTTTTAGTGAGAAAAACAGAGGCCATCAGCATGGACTTTCTTGACTTCAACCTTTCTATCTACAAATGTATCTATATTCACAGACACCCCAACTGCCTTTCCTCCTATATGCTGGTCATCCCCATATATCTAACCCTGACATCTTTCCTGGATAATTCCACTTAGATTAACAAAATTAACATTTTAAAACCAAAATTATGAGCTTCCCATAAAAGGACACCTGAGGATTATAGCTTTTAGGTTAATGGCACCTTGACCCAACCAACTACATAAAGACAAACCTGGGTATTATCCTAGATTTCCCATTTCTGTATCTAGCACTTTAATTAATCAAGTCTGCTTCTTAAATATTCCTAAAATCTATCTCCTAGTCCCTATTTTTATTATCATTGATTATTTGAGCTCTGGCTTAGACTACTTTCTTCCTGCTTCTAAGCTTACTCCTTTTTAATTTCCTTCATACTGTAGTCAGAAAGATCTCTCTACATGCAAATATGATTGTGTCATTTTCTGGTTAAAATCCTTCAGTAGTTTGGTTAATAGAACTCTAAAACCATTCAATGGTATTGTGTGTAGAAATTAAAATAAAATTTACAATTTATAATAAATGGAAAAATGTATATAAAGTAAAATAAAAGCATAAAAAATCCTAGAAGGAAATATATCTAATTGTTGAGATTTACTTTTTTGGGATAGTTGGGTATGCCATGATTTAAACTTTTTTTTACTGCTTTCTTCAATATTCTAATAGTAATAGTAATAGTAATAGTAATGGTAATAATAACTAATACATCGTGCTAATTGTGTGCTAGGCCCTGTTCTAAGTTAAATCTTTTAACCCCCATAACAAGTTTATTACTTAGGTGTTATTATAAGGATATAAATCTATTAAAAAACAAGCACAGAGAGGTTAAATAACTTGCTCAAAGTGAAACAGCTAGCAGGTACTGGAGCAAAAATCAAACTCAGGTAATACTAAATTAATTGTAATGAGCCTGTATTACTTCTGTAACAAACAACAAAATCCGAAAATATTTCTTTTAAACCTCAAAGGCTTCACATCTTATAAAAAACCGCCAAAAACTACTAAGAATGAGTACAAGATTGTCACAATTTGGTTTTTATTTATTTGTTTAGTTTCTTCCCCAACTCTAGCAATATCCTGTTATGTTCTGCTTCTATGATAATGCCATGTTCTTTGTTGCTTTTGGTCATTCATGAATGCCCTTCCCTCTGACATGCCTATTCCTCGGTCCCACTGACCTGCCTAAACCCTACTCATTGTTCAAAATCTAGTTTAAATATTACAATCTTGACTATTTATATACCACATTATATATCCTTATGTTGCTACTTCGTGTCTTCTTTACCTGTATTTACTGGCTGCATAATATTCTATCCCTGGAAAGGACCATAATTTACTGGGCTACTCACACATTTTTGGACTAAAGACTGTTACCAATATTTTATGAATAATAGGATGTTGTGATAAACATATTATTGCAAACAGAGATTTCTGGTAGCCCAGATTTTCTTAAGCTAGATTTCCAGAAGTGGAATTATTGAGTCCAAAGTTACACACTGTTTTTGAGTTTTGAAACCCTGCCAAATTGTTTTTCCAAAGGTCTACGCAAATTTACGATGCTATAATCAGTGATACTGGAGAATACTATTTTCATTGCATCCACCAGGTTTCAGGATTCAAAATATATCTTAAAACTGTACCTTACTATAAATTTGATTTGTAATTATATCATATGTAACAATTTTACTTTAGTGAAACTAAAAATGTAAACCAATATTTTCAGTCCTACAATTTCAGTTACTTAAGATAGCTTCTATTAAAATTTTTTTTTCCTTATGTTTTTCTCAAACAAGGCAGGATATAGATAAGTTAAAAAAATTTTCTACCTGTGGATTTGAAGGGGCTTGATCTTGGGTTTTTCAGAAGCTGAGGGGAGCGTTTTAATCTGAGGTTTGGCTGTAGGCGACGTTTCCAAATCTCGGCTAAGCTCGGCTTCAGTTTTCTTAATGAATTCATCATATGACTAAGTTTAGAAAAATCAGAGGGGTCACTATACAGAAATTTCACAAATGATTTGAAATTATAAAATAGTGTGTTTTATGATAAAATAGCAAACAGTAAAGAAGACGCAATGTAAAATTCTTTCTTTCAGCATCAGTATCATTCCCCAGAGCCCTATAAACAGTTACTTACATATCCTTCTTGAAATAGTCTATGTATATGCAAGATGTAAAACTGTAATCCTGATATCTTTTTGGAAACGATAAAGTCTCAATCTGAAGAATCTTAACACTTACGAAGTAATAATTCAGGTCCTGCCACGTTAAAACTTCTTTAGCTGATGATATAATTATTCCTTAAATTATTCCTTAATTATTCCTTAAAGGGTGGCCTAACATTTGCATGGTATTTTTAAGAAGTTAGCCATTTTGCTTAAGAAGCAGTAAGCTTCTTAAGGGGTTAGCACTTAAGAATACAAATCCTGAAGAGAGGGAAGGGTGTGGTTGGGAGTATAATAGTTCAGAGTTGCAAAAAATGTTTCCTAATTATTAACCATTCTGTAAATAAAACTTCACTACTTGTTAATTCTAATCTGTATGAAATCTAAAGGAAGCCCTCCATGTATTAAATCTCTTCTTAGTTTTCTGGACTAAAATCTCTATGTTTACATCTCTCACTATTTGAGACTACAGCTGTTTTGTTCAACACAGTATGTTTAGTACCTACTCACAGTGTCTGGCCCAAAGCAGGTCGTCAATAAATATTATAGAATGAATGAATGAGCAGATGGATGCTACTGCTGCAGAGCCCTAAAACTTGGGCTAAAATCCCTACTTTCACAACTCTCACCATCCAAATTACCTTCCTCTGAATTCTCAATACCAAAGTAACTTTTGGTATTAACCATACTACAATTAGATAGTCTAGCTAGCTAGGTATATATATATATATATATGAGGAGTGTGACTTCTCGGGTCTGAAAGCTATACTTACATGAGTGAGCTCACTTACTAAATCTGTGATCAAATAAAATCTAAAAGGTGTTTTTCATTTCAACTGCTATGATTATATTTCTCCATTATATGCTATACTTTTGAAACCTAAACACAGAACTTTCTTTCGTGTTTATTTAAACCAGTTAATAAAATGCTGTGTAAAATGGATCCTTACAGCACTTTTCTAGAGATCATTTTGGCTGACATATCCATTAATGAACATTTTTGAGCAATGCTATTCAATCTAATAGCATTTCATTTAGCTCTCAATGGCTCATTACCTATAATAGTGCTTTTAGATCCTGGGCCAATTAAATAAAAATCTCTGGGAGTGAGCCTGGATATCTGCATTTTTCAAAAACCTTTTCAGTTAATTCTAACTGTAGCCAGGTTGAAGACTACTGACCTATAGGATGAAGTCCAAACTCAGCAGCCTGATTTCTATGGTCCTGAACGTGACCTTTATTTTTAAATTTTGTTTCCCGATTCTTTCCAACATGAACTTCCCAGTATGGCCACTGTATCTTAACCACTTCTTCTTCTTTTTTTTTTTTAGCTGAGCCATCCTGCCACCTGTTGGCAGCTCAGCTCAGGCTGGGAATCGAACCGCTAGTTGCTCAGAGCTCGCACTCTTGAGCAAGCTCTTAACCAACTGAGCCACTCGGCCGGCCCTTAACCACTTCTTCTTAATTCTTAACATCTGTGTAAGTTACAATCCCTGCTGCCATCTCTGACTATGTAACTGTGTAAATGTCTATTTTCTCCAGATCTGTCAGCAGGCCTCTTTTCCATGTGGAAGACAGTGCAGTACAATGGTAAGGGCCCGGAGTTTGGAATTAGAGCTAGACTGAAATCCTGGCTTGACTACATCTGAGCTAATGTGTCTCTGGATAGTATCAATCTCACTGAAACTGTTTCCTCAGCTGTAAAACAGGGAAAATAATATCCACACCTTGTTGCTTTGAGAATAAAATGAAAAATACGTATAAAGCTGTCTGGCACGTAAACAGGCACTGGAACATTTGATGATTAAATTAATAAACGAGGAAGAACATATGTTTGGACATAAATTTTGGGTAAAAGAACAAAGAGCTTTCTAGTGCTCAGAACACCTAGCGTTTCACCACGAAGCTACCTGCCTCGAAACCGATTTCCTGTTACAGGAAGTGTTAGGGAAGAAGCTGAGCGGCCTGCTCCGGTGGTGCCATGAGAAGCGATGCTTGTGACGACGAGTCGGAAGTTCTGACCGGTTCTATGCGGAACACGAGGCTAGCAGAATGTGTGTAAGCAATGGGGAAGAGCCAGAGGCAGGGACATTTAAGAGGCGATGCAGGCGGTACAGGGAAGAGCTCAGAAGGGCTACATACGTACAGCTTGAGGGCAGCAGGGATGGAAAGGGACAAGCAAGAAGCTTTATAAAAAAAAACCAAAACAATGGTATCTGGTAACTGAATGGACAGGAGAAAACAGAATGAGGAAGCTACCAAAACCAGGTTTCTAGCCTGGGGTAGAATCAGGACAAAAGTCAAGTTTAGAGTTATTTAGGAGCCATCCAAATTGTACAAAGAGTCGTACTAATAAGTTGTGTGGCATGAAACATCATTCTGCTAAAAATAAAAAAATTCTTTAAAAAAGGCAGTAATAATTCCAGTAGCTAGATTTATCTAATGTTTAAGAGGGTATGCATATCAAGTTTTCTTTCATAGGCTTAATCATTCTTATGTAGAAAAAAACCTTATTTTAATACTTCAATTCATTTTCATATTTATTTAATATTTTAAAGTATAATTTTTACTAAGCATATGTGTAGATAGCCTCAGATTTATTTTTGAGAGTTAGGATAAAATGTGGCACTCAACTAATACTGAAAAATCGTAATTCATTACTTTATTCACAACATTAAAAACGTGTGAGGCCTCACCTCTACCTTAGCCTTGACATTAAGCCCCTTCCCTCCCGTGTCTAACCTCTAACTGTTTGATCAGACTGGCTTCTTGGGCTTTCAGTCTTTCCTTTTGCCGTTTTTTCTGTTCCTTCTTCAGCTGGTCCACAACTGATTTTCTTTTCCGCAGCTCATCCTTCAGAGCTCTGATCCTGCCTTCGATGTCACTCTGGTCAGATGTGGTTTCTAAAAGGAGACAAAAACTTCTATTTAATTTTCATTTAAGAATAAAGTTAACTCAGTAACTATTAATGAAACTCAGCAATGTAATACTCTTTAAATAAAGTCAACCTAACATTTAAAATTAAGAAATTTGAGCTTCTGAGAAAAATTCATTAGTGATTTGCATCCCTCCTTTCCCCTAAATCTCTATTTTTTTGGTGGGGATGGTCCTCCTATTTACTTTCACTTTCTAAGAGTACTATCTGAAACTGCAAATAAATCTCAAGGTACCCTGTTTTGGTTAAGATAAGCAGATGAAAGTGGAAAAACTTTTAGGTTAGTGAAATTTGGACATTCTGTAAGAAATTATTTCCTAGTGGTAAGATAATCATATTTAACTGTCCTTCCCCTTAGTTATTAGTAGGTCATTTAATAGTTTTAAAGGCATATTAAAATCAAATTGGAATGCTTCCATTTTAAGCTTACTGTGAGTCATCCGCTGATGTATTAATCCACATAAAAGGAGAAAGAAATTATAAAGAAATATACTCTGCTGTAACCTTTCTTTGGAGGCTCTTAAAATACTTAAAAATAACTGAAATGAAGCTAGTTAAATCTTATTTCCTTTCCAAGAGTTCATACAAATATATGCACACACACACACAAAGTAGATGTCCAGTCACAGCAAAATCATGAAAACACCATTTCATTATAATAAGTGTCACATACATGCTATAAAACAGGTATTTCAGACACTGCTGATTTCACTCCACATGGACATGACCTAGAATAAAACGACTATTCCTTACACCTCCTCCTTGAACCTCAAAAGGGTGTCATTTCCAAACACTAATGTTGAGTGACACATTTAACTACCTTATAATAGAAATATTACTGCGTACAAATTGGAAGACTCGGATATACACTTTACATCATAACATTACATCATAAATAACCAGGTTTTTTTTTCAGGTACTTCAGATTAAATTGCATAAGAACTAGTTACAAATTTTTTTTAAATGCAAAAAGATCATGGTCATTTTTTTCTTGTGTGGTCCAAATATATGGGTTAGAAATAATGAAATCTAAGTTCCTGTCATTTCTATATCACTGACATCAGGTACAGTAAATAAGCTATACCCATTTTATACCAGTAGCGGCATCGTCTTGAGCCCTTAGCATGGGTAAAGCTCACTACTTACTGATCAACACTCATTAAATGAAGCAATGAAGGCCATTTTCAACTTTGGATACACTGCTGGTAACAGGTATGGTGTTTGACCCTTACTGATTTCTAGAATTGGGTTGAAGATTAAATATGGTATGTAAAGCATGTAGCACAGTACCTGGACTACTATAAAGGCTCAATAAATGGTGGTGGTATTAATACTTACACAAAACAAACATTTTTATGCAGCAATATTTAAGGTAATGTATTTTTTAGTTTAAAACTAAAAAAGGTGGTGGTGAAGAGAGAACCACTGAATATCTCCCTCATGCTTTCTTTTAATTTCTGAAGAAAATATTTGGTTTCAGGGTTCAAAGGTTCTGAATCCTTACTGGTAAGTTTTAGTGATTTAATTTATGATTCTAGTACAGTTATTACGGTAGGATTACAGGCTGAGCTAAAAATTATAATCCTTCTAAAATGAACTATAAATCCATAACTTTGATCTTCTAAAACTATATTCTTTAAGCTTGATAAACTTTATGTGCTTCCAAAACTTGTGTTACTTTGATAAAATTTTATAGGAGACCATTTTAATTTCCTATAAAATTTTATAGGAAACCCACAGACTTAGTCAACTTTGCTAAAAATAGATTTTAAATTAATACATTTTAAAAATTGCATATGCCACCAGTGATTTTTGTAATAAAAATGTCTTTATCATCTATGGCTGTGAAGATTTAATAGTAGTTGATGAGAAAGTTGAAGTTTTTTAGATGAAAGACCTTGGGAAATGTTTATACTTTTAAATATTAAAGAAACCAAAAGCATACAAATGAAGGGTAATTAGAGACTAAATGCGTCAAAGTCTGAGAGTGAATGGGAATACATTATGTATCTGCCCAAATCTAGTACTACTGTATATAATATTTATCATCAGTAACATCCAAGGAAATCTCTAAAATTGTTTTTTTACCCAAGCAACTACTAGAGGAATATTTTGTCTTTATGGAATTCTCTCTTACAGGCTTTTTTGGGAGGTAGAAGAGAGGGAAGGTAGCAGGTAAATGATACTTCAGTTTGTTTAAACATATCAAAAATTAAGTTTCTGATTATTTTGCTAATACTGATTATATTAATTCCATTGATAACAAACTCTCTATAACTTAAGTGAGAAAGGTATTATATATGCCCATTAGATTAAAATTTACCACTTCCATAAAAACTACATATAATGATGTCATCATTAATAGGTAGATGGGATCTATAGTTCAGAAATCTCAGAGCTATTTTTCTAAAACTATTCTTACTTAAATATATCTTACCAATAAAGCAGTATCTTATAAATATTATCATTAATACTTGGTGTGTAACTCATGTAAGGATGCTTAAGACATTATTCCATTGCTACAGATGGAAAAGATTATCCAATATGGGAAAGAAATTTGAAGAAGTCACCAGTAAGTAATAGAGCCAAGATAAGAATCCATGTTTCCAAATATTAATTGTATATCTATGACGTGTCACTCCACTGGCAATAACTTTTCACCAGAGTACATGATAGCAAATATATAACAATATTAATAATTTTCAAGAGATAAATATGATAGATAACATTCTTCAACTGGCTTGACCCAGTCATCCCATTTCTCAGGATTTATGCCTACTGAAATGTTCAACAAGAATATATATGAAGATGTTTATTACAGCATTATTTGCAAAATTTTGAGAAAATCTAAACGACTACCACTAGGGATATGGTTAAATAAATTATGGTATTTCTACTCTTTGAGATATTGTTCAGTGATTCAAAGACTAAGGGAGATCTATAAATATGGGTGTGGGAAAAATCCCATTATTTACTATTGTTTGAAATGCTGAAAACAAAGGGGTATAGAACAGGATCAAAGACCAAAAAAATATATATTTTTTGCTTTTCCTTTACTAAATGCCTACTTTCAAAAGAAAACTGAAAATGAGCTCAAAAGTCATATCCTCAATATGGTACTGACCTTCCTCAGAATCCTACATAAACCGATATGTTTCCCAAAGTCAACTAACTCTTTGAAGTCTTAGAGGCTGTTTATTCTTTCACAGTCTATGTATTACCGAGATGTGCAGTAGGATAAAGGTTATGGGAGGAGACAAGGCTCCCCACCGCTATGTGCAGCCTATTGGCTACTTTTCTTCCATGGAGACTTCTGCTCTCCTGCCCGGCCACCTCCTGTTTCTCTTCATTCAAGAAATGGCTCATAACTACCTACCATGTGCAATGCAAAGTACCTGTTAGGTCCTGGTGCTACAACTGTTAACAAAACATAGACTCTCCTTCCCAGGCGTCTATGAGTAAAGTTTGGTTACAATTTATGTGCTGTCTGGTACAAGACGTTGAAGCACAAAGCACTGTAGAAACACATAAGCAGTGCCTGACACACAGAAAAAAGTTCTACAAATGTCTGATGAATAAATGACTGTCCATTAACACCAGAGAATATAACGGTTTATCAGATTTTGTGTAATTAGGGATATAATTAATTATCAATGAATAGCAAAGAATTATGCAATTTAATCTTGGCAGGAAAAAAGGCTTAACAAGTGCAACAAAAGATAACATCATACCAGCATATGGACAAAGCTTATTAAAGAGAAATTCAAATACAGTACGAAGTACAGAAACTCCTCATTAGTCTTACCTGACTGGGTCATAGATAATGACTCGTCTGACCAGCTATAACAGTGTTGATGGGACTTGACAGGCAGGTGACATTGTCCTCCAATCCTATGGCTTCCTTTGCTGGACTCCTGCTTTGACACAGATGTGCAGCTTTTGGGAGGTGACTGTTCAAACAGAAAACCAAATGGGAACTGTTCTGTGATATAGTTGTAAATTCTATTTAAAACTCGAGATACTGCGGCCGGCCAAGTGGCGCGATGGTTAAGAACTCGCTTGGGATGCCAGAGGGCCCCGGTTCGGATCCCACATATGAGGGCCAGTGACACTGCCCTCCA